AAAAAACATGCAAGATTATTACAGCTATATGTATATGGTTTGATCTTTGTATTCCCTCAGCCAAAAAGTATGAGTGTAGAGGGAGTGTCCTGTAGCTGGATAATTAAAGCTATTTACCTTGCTTTCTTTACTKTAAAGGAGAGATTGGTACTTAAATCCTTGGTAGCTATAGTTAAGCATAACTATATTTACAACTAATTTGATTTCTAGTTAGGAGTATATTGTACCTTGGATGCCAAGTCCATACACTGTTCTTTCAGGCTTCTAAAAAAAAAATGTATTAAAATATGGAAGCTCCTCATGTTGTATAAATTACTGTTTCTTTGCTGGCTTCAATGATATTGAAACTTTCTACCCAAATCTAATCCCTAATATTCAACAAACAAGCACAAAAAAAAAAAAAAAATCTGGAAGGAACCAAAGAATGTTTAAATATATTTTAAAATATATTTAATGTACACAGATGTTGTACACGGGATGCACGAAGCAACTCGCCTCTCTCTCCATTGCAATTCACTGCTGTTTGTCAAACAAACCTCTTATTTGCTTCAGTGGCAGTTTTGGTGAAGACTGTAAAATGTTTGTTCATGACTAGAAAATGAGATTCTTCCTGTGCCACAGAATGCAAAAAGAAGCCCTGTTTATGTAAATTTTTGGTGGCATGGAAGAATATGCCAGTTAAATACAGTACTTCAAAGGAATGTGAGCTGTATAAATCAAATTGAAATGATTGAAAGATTTTACAACTTTTCATGTTATACCTGCCTATCAACAGATTTCTTTTCATCATCTGAAGTTTGCGTCATCCTTTTTATTGTTGTTCCTTCCAGTTCTCCATGAGAAAATTAAAAAATGTATCTGTGTGTATATACAATTTGTTAAGTTGTATCTCCTACATCCACTAAAGCACCTCTGTGAATTCTGGAACAAAAGCTCCAGCCCTGAGCGCCGTGGCTCCCCTACGGCATCGGCCACGCTGGTCAGGCTGCCGCCGAGGGCCCCTCCGGTGGGAGCAGCGACCGCAGCGCGCCGGGAGCCCAAATGAACGGCTCCCGAACCGGCTGCGCGCTCCGGAGCATCCCGAGGGACACAGGCCTGCGCGGGAGCGGCGCCCGCTCCCGGGAGACCAGCACTCGGACGCCAAGGCCACCGGGAAGCGGAGCCCAGGAAACTGGGGGCGGGGGAGATGCAGAARGAGCGTGTCAAGAGCTGCGAGTGCCAGTCGGAAACGCGCCGTGTTTTATGCAAGCATAGCTGCGCTCTTGAATTAAAAACCACGATCAAAAACTACTTCCTGAGAAGGCATTAAAGCCTTGCTTTTCCTATAGCGTGTATTAACAAGCATCATTTCTCACAAAAAAAAAAAAAAAATCCTCTCTTAYGTTACAGAATTTAGTAGTATTCTGAGATATAGCAAAAAAAACACAGTTTAATTTACAATTCTTCTAAAGTATTAGTATTTTTGAGTGACCATAGACTTATTTTTTTTTTATTCCTTGGATAAATCCAACAAGCTGATGCCTTTTTATTTTTTTCCTTCCCTATAGGATTTTGCACAGAATTCAAGCCAAACGGATAATCAACCATCCCAGCAGAGGGGTACGTCTCCACTGAAATGTATTAACATAGCAATTAGGTAACAAAGCAGGCAGAGATGGCATTTTACTTCAATTCAGATTTTTGTGTATGTAGCACCATGAAAAGAACAGAGGAAATTGAAAAAATTTCCTTGGGAGGAGGTCTCTAGCTTTTTTTTTTTTTTTTTTTTTTTTTTTTTTTTTTTTTTTTTGTATGTGATCTCCAGTAGTATCAGAAATTCAGAATATTAATTAAATCAAATGTGATATTATGTCTCAAAATGTGATACTGTACATGGGGATATTTAATTAGCTCTCACAAAGGATACCAGCAAATGGTTCGGCACCCTGCAGTCACACAGACGTACCAATGTACCCGAGGAGCCAAAAATTAGTGAAAAACTGTGGTGTGATTATCCAGCACAGTGTCTGTTTGCAGAAGAGCCTTGGGTTTTGTTTTTTTTTTTTTCGCAGTCATTGCAAATATTCTGTCGAATACAGTTGACCACTGTAGGCTAAACATCTGAAAACTACTCAGCTARGACAGCTATTACTTCTTAAATAAGCAAGAAATTCAAGTGTGTTGATGGGAATCTGGTCACAAGTTGTCCAGATCTCATATAAAGTGCAGTAGTCCCTCAGATAGGCATTTGCTCCTTAATAGCAAGTAGAAATGCACCACAGTTACTGGTTTATATTTTGCTGCTTTTTTCTTTTCTTTTTTTTTTTTTTTTTTGGCAGAAGATGAGCAGTTCTAAGTATAACACATAAGCGTCATGCTTAAAAACAAATTATGAAATGTAAAATTAAGGTAAATCTGTGGTGATTTCTACTATCAACATTGCACTGTTTAGTTTGAAATAGCTTCACGCAGTGTTTATTACACAAACCTCCCAGGCTTGTGTCGGCRTGAGAATCTGCTCGCGCAACCTGAGTGAAAACTCCCTTTTTTTTTCTCTCATGACTCAAACTGAGTGAACTTTTAAACAAAGATGAGTAACATGCGAATGCCATTTCCACGCACACTCTGGCTGCAAAAAGCTGAGGTAATAAGGATGGGAGAATCTGGGATTATTGTGATCACTTTATCTCACTTCAGCGTGAAGGATGGAGCCCCCGCAAAAAAAGCTAAAGAAGACAAAGCCCTGCTTTGTTCAGTGCTTCGGTGCGTTGGGCTCTGCAAGCCCAACATGCAAAATGCACAAGGATACAAAACCTGCAACCGTGCAGAGCACAGGGCTTAAATAATAATTTTAAATCCCCTAAGGCTTCCTCAGACCCTTGCCCCCCTAGCAAAATGAAGCCCCGCRGAGGCCTGACGCCGCGATCTGAGAGCACTCCGCTGGGGAATGGGGCTGGGATCGGCTGCGGGTGCATTACTCATAATTTACTGCCGCCTTATCTTGAGAGGGAATAATGTGGTAATTTTATGTTCTCTCTCCAACAGAGAAATTTTTCAGTGCCCAAGACTATCTGGAGCTTTGCAACCGGTTCCCCCGTCAGTCCTGGGAGGAAGCACGGCATTTCTTCCTAAAAAAATGAGCATGTCCTCACTGGTTTTGGGGCGCTCACACTTGAGCGGAGCGTTCCGGGCCAGCYGCCCGCTTGGAAAGCCTCTCCTGAGAAGTTTTGATACGCTAAACACTTATTCTGTAGATATATGTAATTTGCACTATTTATATCTTAAGAACTGTAGATAATTCTGAGTTCTGTTTTGTAATTTTGGGCAATTAGCATTTAGTTCCTTCCCTTGTCCCACGTCATGGTCAGGGTGGTCCCTGCACCGTGGTGCCTGTGCTGCAACACGGCTGAGAGGAGGTGGAGAAGAGAAGAAAAAAAAAWGTTCTATATATCTTGTAATAAAATAACTTATTCTGGCCGTTGTGCGGCTGCTGTGTGACAAAAGTCCATGCGCTCCAAGTGCCACGAGGGCACAAGGCGCGCGAGAAGGGGATGAGCCCTGTGTGTGGCATCGTTTCTCATCAAAAGTCTGCGGAATTGGTCAGATCTGAGTGCGGGGCCCGTTCCTAGCTGATTTTGGAGGCGCTTTAGGCGGTTTCTAACCCATAACGCGTTTTAAACGTTTCCATAAGCCTTTAATAAAGCTCGTTCAACCCGTGTGCTGTCCGATGCCGTTAAAACCGTTAGGCGCCCGCGCGGCCCCGCGACGCGGCTGTCCTGCGCGTGACGCCCGCGCCGCGGCCGGACGCAGCCGGCTCGGACTGGCCAGAACCGGCTTGGGCCGCCGCGCGGCGGCAGTGCCAGCGGCTCTGTGGGGACGKCGCCGCCGGGGCCCCGAGCGCCGTTCCGCGCAGCTCCGCGGCCGCCGGGGCCTGAAGCGGGAGCCCGGCGCGCAGCGCTTCGCCAGTCCCGGGACGCGGGTGAGTCCGAGGCCCCGCGGCGGGGAGGGAGCGGAGAGCCCCGGCGCCACCTGCCCGGACAGGAGGGACGAGACCCCRGGATGTCCCCCGCGCCTCTCCCGCAGGCCCCGACCGCGGTAGGACAGGTSCCCGGCGGCGCCAGGCGCAGAGCGGGAGCCGCCGCCTCGACGGGGCGGTAACGCGGAGCCCCCTCGCCGTGCCCGGCCGCGGCAGGTGCGGAGCGCCCGCGAGGGGAAGGGGGAAGCGCCGCTCCCGCGCCCAGGAGTGCGTGGCGCGGGGACCCGGCCCGTGCGTCTCACGCGTTGTCGTCGTCGTTCTTTCCTTTTTTTTTTTTTTTTTTTTTTTTTTTTTTCCTTTCAATTTATAACAGAGTCATAGCTTACAGAGGTACGAGTCTCTTTTTTTTTTTTTTTTTTTTTTTTTTTTTTTTTTTATTAAGTCCAAAATATTTAATCCCACTATTCAACTGCTGCTGCGACAATAAATAACAATAACTTACTTTTTGTTCGTTAAAGGCTCAAACAATCCGTCCTCCGTCCAGCGATAACTTAACATTAATATGACTCTTTTTTGGTTTTCCTGATAAAAAGTCTCGTCTCCGCGTCCCTCTTCTTTTTTTTTTTTTTCCTTTTCTCTTTCTTTCCGAGGCACCGGCGTGAGATGAGGGGCTGCGCGGACGCGGAGGGGCGCGCGCGCCGGGGCCGCTCCGCCCGCCGCTCCCTTCCTGGCGCCCCGCGGCCGGGAGAGCCGCGTTTCTCGGGGAGAGAAACATCGAAATCCGCCGGGAATAATTAAAAAAAAAAAATACAACAAAAAACTCCGGGCGGGGGCTGGGTCCGCGGTCGGGTGAAGGCAGCTGGAATTCCGGTGCGTTTTGGCCGTCGGTAACGTACTTTTGTTCTTTTTTTAAATAAGAATAATTAATAAAAATAACAATAAAAAAACCGAAGGCGTCTCGCAGTGTCCGGCGCGCTGTGGCGGCCGCGGCGCGTGTCTCATGCAGGGAGCGCAGGCATGCGGAGGTGCCGCGGCGGCGGGCGCCTCACGTCTCGGCCGGGCTGGGCACCATGCTGTTGGGGGTGTCGGGGAGCTGCGAGGACAGCGAGGTCACGTCGCTGCCCGACGACGTGCCCAGGGAGCCGGACTCGGAGAAGGAGACCTGCGGGAAGGGCGGCGGTGAGCGCCGCAGCGCGCAGCCCCCCAACCCGGCCCCCCGGCCCGGGCCCCGGCGGGGCGGGCGCTCACCAGCTGCTGGAAGGCGGGTTGCTCCAGGTCGCTCTGCAGCGCGAAGTCGCTGAGCGCCTTCCAGGGCGGCTGGTAGGTCTGCACCTCGACGGCGCTGCCCTGCACGGCGCTCTCGTGCCGCACGGGGCTGCCGGCCACCAGCGGCGTCCCGGTGAGGCCCTGCAGGCTCTGCGGGGACACGGCCCGGGCCGTCAGCGCCACCGACGGCGCCGTCGCGCCCGCCGCGCCCGCCGAGCGCTCACCGTCTTGTCGCTGTGCTGCTGCTGCTGGAGCTGCTTCATGAGTAGCGACTTCTTCTTGTCTTTGCAGCGCTTGTTCTGGAACCACACGCGGATCACGCGCGGGCTCAGCCCCGTCATCTCCACGAGCTGCTCCTTCATGAGGGCGTCGGGGCGCGGGTTGGCGGCGTAGCAGGTCCGCAGCGTGTGYAGCTGCTTCTCGTTGAGTACCGTGCGCACGCGGGTCGTCTTCTCGGCCGCCTTGTGCGCCGGCGGCCGCGGGGCGGGCGGCCGCCCGGGCACCGGC